TGACAATGATTTAGAAAGTATTTTTCAAGAAGCAAGTGGATGATTAAAATGAGTGTTATGTTTATATCCAAAATCAGAGAATCTTTAAAATAAATTTTTAACTTCAAAAATACAAATCCGCTGAAGTTCAATACAGAATGTTTGTCTTTCATTATTATTTAGGGTTGCACCTATGAAATCCTTTGAGGAAACAGGATAGCCTTTCTGAAATCAAGAATAAGTCAGATGTACAAAAATGTGTGTATTAAGTAACATTCTCTATAGTTGCATCAGATCTTTAGGAATTAGACACAAAGGTAAGTAACTCTTTGCCTGCTCATCATCTTTTAAAATTTCATTTGATAAGTTTTATAATATATAAAGCAAAAGAAATTGAAGATTAAAGGATGTAATATTCCATGTTAAGGAAAAGCTATCTTGGCTCTCTTCATACTTCCAAAACACTCACTCTGTTATTGGGAACCATTGTGGAAAACACGGAACTTTGAGGACCAATGAGTTCAGAAATAAAAGGACAGAAGCTGTGAAAACCAAGAATTATACTCTCTTAATCATGAATTAGCTACTTTTAAGCTGTCTTCTTTAAGCTAAAACATCTTTCCCCACATTGCCTGATATTTTTTCATGTTAGATTATACTGTTGGAAATTCTACCAAATTGGATTGTTTGGGTTAACAGGCATTCTCTTTAATCCTATTCTTAGGCAAAGCAAGGCAAGAACCTTTTTTTTTTTTTTTTAACTTGCTTTTATTCCCCAAATCTAGAAGTCAGGTTAGTAATATGAGATTATATATTTAGGCCAGTGCATACAGCTTTTGTAGGAAGATGCTGTGAATTTAAACACCATTAAATATAGTTGGAGTTGGGCAAAACTCTTCCAAAATTAAGTGTATCTGATTGCATTTCTTTTCTTTCAGTTTAGAGCCACATGTGAAAATGAAACCATAATGAGAGTGCAAAAATAATGACTACACAGTAAAATCCTTAAGCCCTACCATTTTAAGTACAAGAAAGTTAATTGAGTTGGGTGGATAACAAAAGAATCAGGGTCTCTAAAAATTTGGAGAAATTCTATCCAAAATACAAAACAGAGGTCCCTTAGAATGCTACTCAGTTTTGATTTTGTTTTTTTAATTGATTCAAAGAACAAGGACATGGTACTTGGAAAACAAGTTGGAAAGTAGATATTCAGATGAATAGACAGGGAATTCTTTCCAGGTTGGAAGAGTACAACTAGTAGACTCAGGGAATTCATGGGACAGGAAGAGTACAGTTGGAGTTTTAGCTTGGAATTTACCAAAGGGAAAACTCGTTTTTAAAGTACTGAAACCTATTGAAGACAAAGATCTAGAGGAAATGCCACAAAACTTTCTAATGGTGAGTAAGGAGAAGAAAATGCTAAGAATTTTGAGACATTTATATGTCTTTATACTTTAAAGCAGAATTTTGACTCTTCTAAAACAAAATAACAACATAAGAAATTATAATCTCAAAAGTGTTACTTTCCCCAGGAAAGAAAAATTCTCAGAGATGTATGTTATCCTCTCTTTTCCGCAAAGGAAGTCATAAAGAAAAAAGAGTCTAATCAAAGGACATTCTTACTAGAAATTCTCTCTTTAGGTCTACAGGTATACTGGGATCTTGTAGGTACATCCCAAAGTGTGAGGACCTAGGGCTTCCCACATTTTCTCTGATGAGGAACAAAAACCAGTCAGTAAGAAGGTTGAAGTGAGGAAAAACCTCTTAGCAGGTAAGGAAGGGCAAGGATTTAGTTCCTAGGTATAGAATGGCAGATTCTCATAGCCTTGTTTTCCAAAGGAAAAAGTACACCAGGATGTTTGATTCATATCCTCTTTAGAGAAATACTAAATGACATTGACTCATGGGTACATACCTTGACAGAAATGCAAAACTAAGATTAATACATATCAGCTTCACTAAGAAAAGTATGTACCAAAATATTACTAAATAATCAAGTATTGGCTTCTTTTAACTAAGAAATATGTATCAAATGAGTAAAACTGACAAATCAGTAGATGGAAAAATTTTTAATTACATGTTTTAAAAATAAGTCAGATGCCCATATGGTATCACTAGCTTAGAAAAATGTTTTCATGACTATTCAGCCTGTTACTGTGAATCTTTACTTCAGTACAGTCTGGTAATATATTAGTTGCTACTATTTTAATCAGCATAGTTAAAAGAATGATAAAACTGGAAAACCTTAATCTGTTAGTTTACAAATTTAAAGTTGATGCTTGCTATTTTGTTTCCAGATTCTGACAGGGTAGGTATCAAGATAACCATGAAACTAGTATAATAGATAACTGAAGAAAGATTGTATCATGTGGAAAGGACAAAAATGACAATGTGAAATAAAACAAGTGGTCTTGAATGGCACTTGATTTCTGAGAGGAATCATGAGAATGCATAAAATATTAGTAAATTTATGCAATACATAAAAGCAAAGAGACAAAAATACATAGAGCCGGTGGAACAAACAGCAGTAACTGTAGCTGCTAATCAGATAATGGTACTCAACATGGAAGAACAGAACTGATAGCATATTTAGGAATTTATGCACTAGGAATGAAAACGCTGAATAGAGTTGAAAGAAACAGCACCAATTATGACTATTATACCCATATTTTTGGAAGATTTTACCCCTTTCCTCTGAGGTCTATAGAGATTTCAGAATAAATTTTAGTCAAAGTATAGGGACCAGTAATTTACTATTTTAACAATAGGGCATGTTGAAGCATGATACCAAAGTTGGATTGAATGCCCTTGTAAAGTCTCTTCTAGTCCTTTTTAATACTATCCAAGCCGCTACTTCTGAGAAAGATACAAATTTTTTTGTGTATGTGACCCCAATTTATTATTTTTCTTAAATACAGCATAAATCCATGAAACACACTCCAACATCTGGGACTTATGTATAAATTTGTTTGAAAATATTGTACTGCCATTGTTGGCAGAAATTCATGAAGCAGTGTTACAAACTAAATCATTCCTTTTTTTCTAAGCCATTCTTCTGAAATTGGCTGACAGGCAAGAAATTGAAGTCTTAATTTTCTAAGATCTTTTATCTTTTGACTTGCTACCATCTTTCTATCTCTGATTATATTTGAGATTTGGGGGAAACAGGTTGTAAAGTTATTTGTGATTTTGGTACATGTGCTAATATTTGTATTATCCATTTCCCTCTAACACAGTGAATTTCTTCAGATGTCTTCAGATTGGCCTTTCAAAACAGGATCTAAATAAATAGAAACTTCAAATTTATCTATAGATGATATACTAAAAAAAAGAGAAAAGGAAAATGGCTTTTACTTTCTTACATAAGGAGAATTTTTATCCTCTCAATCTGATTTTAGAAATAACCAGTTTGGGCTATCAATCTAGGTCATAAAGAAAGTTGATGATGTCCTCCATATATTCTTGTTGATAGTGAATTCCACAGTTTTAATTAGCTTCACAAAATAAAACTAAATTCTGAGGAAGTGTGTATGTATGAATTATATGTATTTATGTATATATAATGTGTATATAATCTATATATATGTGTGTATACATAGTATATGTGTGTATACATATCTATATGCTTTGTGGAAGAAACACAGGTATCAATTATTATCAAAATTCCTTATCTAAAAAAACATCATGAACTTTTATTAACAATCCAGGATTTGTTTAGCCTCATGTTAAACATTTTGAAAATCAAAACATTAACTTTTTTTGTTCTCAAGGATAGTGCTATTAAAAGATCTCTAACCTCAATGGTTAATAATTTTTACTTACAGGAAGAAAACCTTTTGAAATTTTATTGGGGGACTTATTAGTCTATTTATATGTATTTCTAAAAACTGAAAATAATTAATGTGCAGGGGATAATTGTAGCTAGTATATAATCATATAATCCTACTGTTCTTATGAAACCACTTGACTGGCAAACATATTCATTATGGTTTCAAAAGAAACACCCTATTGATTCATCAGGAAAATCTTTGGGATCTAAGTCTTATTATTTCTGCTTATGCTGTTGAACATTAGTACATTTGGGGCTAGAAAAGGAGAAAGAAGAGATAGATTAGGGTAATGACAGTATTTATGGATTTTCCTCTTCTCACCTAAAATTAGGAAGTCAAGTAAAAGAATTGCAAATGAATGTAAAGTGGATTTTTTTATACTATTACAGAAATTTTAGAGATGAAGACACTTAAGCTTTATTCTGTAACTTTTGAACAATGGCTTTTACTCCCACCTATTTTCTAATTTTATAATAAGAATTGGCTTTATAATCAGAATTTCCTTGGTATAAGAAATAGCTTTGCTTCTTATGAAAATAACTGTCTTTTAAAATATTAATAACATATATAATTGAATATACTGGTAACATATAAGAAGAAAAAGTCAAAAGATTAAAGCAGTAAAGAATACCAAAATATAGTGGAATATCAGTCAGTATTATGGGATGTCAGAGGTGAGCCCTTCTTTTATCAAAACAATTCTACTAGGTGATCCATATTATATAAATTTGGGTACCAAAGGGCTTATATTATAAAAGGCTTTAGCATTATCACAAATATTAGAGTAAAAATTTAATATAGTCAAATTAATCACATGAAAAGGTAAGAAAACTGATCATGTTGAAGTGTTTCTAATATTTGGAAAATGTTATTAAAAAAGAAGTATAAATATTACTCAAATTTTGAAAATCATGGCAGAAGCAAAATTAAATAAGGAATAGCAGTAATAAATAAATAAAAACTTAGTCAAAAATATATTAAATGACAAAATAGCCAGTAGTAGAACTGAATCATTAAGATCAAATATACTTATACCAAAAGGCATAAAAGTATGAAAAATTCTATTAGAATTAGAAAGAACTCTTATCCTAAATATTAAAATAAATAGCAATGACTATTAAACATTACTCCTAAAATATCTGGGAGGAAAAGAAATAACACAAAGCAGAGAAAATGAAAGACACCTCACTATTCCCAATGTGGTTATTATTTATGGAATGGATAAAACATGTAGAAAATGTCACTACAGTTAGATTAACACATAAACAAACCAACATGCCACAACTACCTAAATAGTTTTGTAGAACAGCTGAAAAAGTAAATTTCATCGAATTTAGACAGCTTATAATGGAATAAATAAGTATGGCGAGGTATTAACTAACCCTAAGTGTCACAACGGGCAGCTTCTAGCCGGTTCATTGAAGCTGGATCTCGGCCACACAAGGATCATTGGACAAGAAATCAGTTGAGATGGACTAGAGCTGCCCAGTTGTCTTAATAATGAATGCTCCACACTGTCTGTTAAGTAAAAAGGAAAAAAAGTATAGATCAGAAATGAACAGGAAAGAAAAACAAATTAGAGTAGATGAATGTAGGACATCAATGAACATTTACACAATACTTGTAAAACATGTGTAGTAATTTTATTGAGTGTTAAGAAGTGAGAGAAGTTGAATAGTATCAGTCCTCCAACTTTGTTCTTTCCCTTTAATATTGTGTTGGCTATTCTGGGTCTTTTGTCTTTTCATATAAACTTTAAAATCAGTTTGTCAATACCCATGAAATAACTTGCTGAGATTTTGACTGGGATTGTGTTGAACCTGTAGATAAAGTTGGGAAGAACTATGATATCTTCCTATTCATATACATGGAACATCTCTCCAATTATTTAATTCTTTGATTTCTTTTATCAGAGTTGTGTAGTTTTTCTCATCTAGATCTTGTACGCATTTTGTTAGATTTATACCTAAGTATTTCATTTTTAATTTTAATTCATTGCTGGTAAGCAGAAAAGCAACTTGTATCCTACAACCTTGCTATAATTGCTTATTAGTTTCAGAAGTTTCTTGGTCAGTTCTTTTGTATTTTCTACATTTTCTACAGATCATGTCATCTGCAAACAAAGGCAATTTATTTCTTCCTTCCCAACTGTATACTTTTGTTTCCTTTTCTTGTCTTTCTGCATTAGCTAGTACTTCCAAGTACAATGTTGAAATGGAGAAGTGAAATGGGACATGCTTGCCTTGTTCCCCGTTACTAATTTTAATACATTTAAAAACACCTTTGAATCGACCAAGTGTTCACATAAGAAATTTTTTTAACATAACATTACATAACAAGTAATAATTAAGATTAGGAAAAAATTATAGGCTCAGGGCATGAATAGAGCTGAAAGTAATCTTAAGGGTGAAGCCTTATTAATTATACATATAGCACTTCAATTATTTTTCAAGTGTAATGTTCAATAAATGATGAAATGAACTACTGAGAATGAGTTGTTAACTTAAAACTTGTCTTATGATACAGTCCATATGACATGTGTATGCAAGGGCCACCTTATTTATGTGATTTATTAATTAACTAATGGCCCATAGTTCATTTAGATTCTGCCAGATTTGACAGTACCTACAAATATGAGTCAGAAACAGTAATAATGGTTTTTATCCATAATAATTTAAAGTTTTATTTTAGCTATAGTTTGTTTCTATTTCATTTTCAATTAAATCTTTGTCAAAATTAGAAGGATAAACAAACTTATTTGATTTTGAGTCTTTTTAAAGAAACTTTCTTAAAGAGCATTCAAAAAAAGGGAAAAAAAATACCAAAAGATAGAAAGATAGAAAGTGAAAATAAAAGAGCTAAGGTAACTTGCAGGTAATATAAGCATTATGAAATGATGTAAATTGGTATATATGAAAAAGAGAAAATTGACAGTATAAAAGAGAAACTATATCCTATAAATAGTTTCAAGTAAAAATTATTTTGGCCAATTTTTAAAGTGGAGGAGGAGGGTTTTAAATAAATCTTGGTTAAAATTTCCAGAATGACATAAAGGTCTCTTCCTTAAAGGTTTACAACATGAAATGGGCTTTTTCCATCTTGCAGTGAAGAGAGTTCAGTTTTAAGAACATATCATTGCAGAAAGAATGAAGGTAAGGTGGTTTGCAGTTTACAAATACTTTAAAATATGTCCCTAATGTGTTCATTCTGAAGTTTTAAAGATCAGCAACAAATACATGCTTTTAAACAACACTGTTTCATGAAAGGTATAACTGAAGTATGAAGTACTCAAGAAAGAATGGCTAAGTGAATGTATAAGAAATTTCAATGTATTTTATCTGATTTAGTTGTGTGGAGAAAGCTAACTCAACTGATAGAAACTTATCTTAAGTCTGAGTAATGGAAAAGTAAGCAAAAATAATTGCTTTGGTAATACAAAGTTACAGAAGACATTTCTAAGTGGACCACTAATGTACAGCATTACTATACTGTGATTATAGTATAGGTGACTATAATTAATTAATACTATATGCATATTTGGAAGTTGCTGAGAAAGTAGAGCTTAAGAAATTTCTTTTTTTAAAAAATTTTTTTTATAGTTTATTTATTTTTGAGACAGAGAGAGACAGAGCATGAGTGGGGGAGGGGCAGAGAGAGAGGGAGACACACAATCTGAAACAGGCTCCAGGCTCTGAGCTGCTGAGCTGTCAGCTCAGAGCCTGATGCAGGGCTCGAACCCACAAACCATGAGATCTGACCTGAGCCAAAGTCGGACGCTTAACCGACTGAGCCACCCAGGCGCCCCAGCTTAAGAAATTTCTTATCACAAGAAAAAAAGTTTGTAAGTATGTGAGGTTTTGTAGATGTTAACTAGACTTATTGTGATGACCATTTCATAATATATACATATACTGTACACCTGAAACTAAATGTTATATGTCAACTATATCTCATTGCTATTTCTGTCACATATTACTTATTGTGGTGTTCTCAGATGTTTTGTGGTTTTCACTTTCAGAAAACTTTCTCCTGAAATTACAATCAGCTAAAATGGTTGGTAATATTGACATGGGTGGGAAAAAAATAGAAGAGTAGAGAGTGGTCCTGGCTCAAGCTGTGGTTTGAGAAGGGGTACGCCTGTGTAAAAAGTTAGTCATTAGTGTAAAATGACTAATTAGTGTAAAAACTAATAAAATTTGAGTAAGGTATATAGTTTAGTTAAGAGGACATATTAGCGTTCATTTTCTGTACTAGTACCCTCTAGTGAAAGAACAGTTGGGTGAAGGATATACAGAAACTCTATTCTATAACTTTCCTGTAAATCTGAAATTACTTCAAAATACAAAATTTTAAAAAAAAGTTAAAAGGACCAATATGTTTGAGAAAAATGAAGTGTTTGCCAGGATGTCTGTGCATGGAACACTTATTTTCTCTTATCTCTAAGCAGTTATTAATTCTAGTCTGATATTTTCTTCTGTTCTCTGCATTATATGTTTCTTTCTGTTTGTTATGATCTCATTCTGGAGGTTTTCTTCTAACGTGACTGCATGTCCATATTTAAGGAGGAAGCACTCAAGTCCTAATGGGAAATTCTTTGTGCACGGATAGTTTTATCAATGAGCTTTACTGATAGGCATTTCATAGGGCCAGCTAAGTGTTTCTCTTGTTAGAAAACATGCTTCTGTTAGACTCCTGGATCTGCCACTTATTATGAGCTCTACTTATTTAGGCAATTTACTTTCATGCTTAAAGTGATCAAGGTTAGTAGTACCAGTAATCAGATATACTGGGATCCTGTATCCCTTGAAATAATACATTGAGAAGGGCACATCACTTCTGTGATATTTTTCCCCAAATGCATAACTTCCATTTTTTTTCTTTTAAGTTTTATTTTTTTTAAAGTAATCTTTACATCCACAGTGAGGCTCAAATTTACAACCCTGAGATGAAGAGTCACGTGCTCTACCAACTAAGCCAGCTAGGCACCCCTGCATAACTTCTGTTTAATCAGGAGAAAATACCAGACAAACCCATTGATGGATTGTCAACAGAATAACTGACCAGTGCTCTTTAAAAGTATGAAGGTCATGAACGACAAGGAAAGACTGTAAATTTCAGATTGGAGGAAAGTAGGAGAGATGAAAAATTAATATAATGTGGGATTCTTGGGTTAGATCCTGGAACAGAAAAAGAAGATTTGTGGAAGAACTGGTGAAGTCTAAATAGTGTTTGTAGTTTATAGTATTGTACCATTGCTAATTTTTATTTTTCTTAATTGTTCTATGATTATATAAGTTGTTAAAATTATGAGAACTTGGGTTAATGGATACATAAACTCTATTATTTTTTGCAACTCTTCTTTAACTCTAAAATTATTTAAAAATAAATGGTTAAAAACAGTTAAAAGGACCAAGATGTTTGAAGGAGGGAAATGGATATTTCCCAGGATATTTATACATGGATTCCCTCTCATTATGCTTGAAGGATGGTGAATCCTTTTAGACTTGTAAATTCAAACAAATCAAGGGTATTTTTGTTTTACTATTAAAATGTGTGTTTATTCTTTTTGTCTTTTTCTGTATTTTGAGAATTACTCCTTTTTTGGCTAGAGTTTTGTCTCCGTTTTCCCTATTCTAGCATTTTATCCTTCATATTCTGTATTCTGGGAGGATTTCAAAAAATTCTTTCTCTATCAAGGAATTGTTTTTATGTAGTAACTACTGGTCCTTTACAGCAAAGACAAATTTAAGTTTTCCATCATATCAATAGTTTCTTATGGTATTTTCTCACACTGGCCAGCAACTATTTCATCTTTCCTGTTTTTGAGCCTGTAATTACTGGGAACATGGGATATATTTTTACAACTTTATTTAATTTCCTCTTATATATACAATTTCTAGTGCCTCTAGATTGGTAAGATTTTAGCTCCTGCTGCCTAGTTCTCTACTGAATAAAATAATTTATTCTTCAGAATATGAGACTATGTAGAGTTTGGCTTTGTACAGTGCATAAAAATTTATACCCTCCTGTATGTTCAGAGCTGCAAAGCAGACTTTTCCTGTCCCTGCCCTCTAGTATGCAGCGCTTTACAGTTGTCATCCTCTACTCTGAGGACTTGCTGAATATGTGGAAATTTTAGTCTCTAAATTGCTTTATGAGAAGTGTTACTGATACTGAAATGAGGAAATGGTTAGGAAGAAGATAGTAGTGGAAAATTTTTAGTTTAAGTGTATATTATGGGTCTCTGAGCTAAAAACAGAGAGTGGTAACAGGTCAAGTCCTTTACTAATTTACTTTTGAATCACAGTGTCTTTCTACAGTGTAGGATATAGTATGTAAATAGCTGTGTTTTTTGTTCAAGTCCAATCAATGCTTTAATTAGAAGAAATTCCTCAGAGGTGTCTGGTGGCTCATTGGTTAAGTGTCCGACTCTTTATTTGGACTCAGGTCATAATCTCACGGTTTGTGAGATCAAGCCCAAGTTGGGCTCTGCACTGACAGCATAGAGCCTGCTTGGGATTGTCTCCCCCTGTCTCTCTGCCCCTCCTCTGCTTGCATGTGCTCTCTCTCTCTCAAAAGTAAGTAACCATTAAAAAAAAAAAGAAGAAATTCCTCATAACTTGGCAAGTAGTTAAATATTATTAACATTAAATATTTTCATGAATAGCTATTATACATTGGAGTTAAATAAAATGAGCATTTATTTATTTATTTTTCTTTTCAACCTTCATTTTATTTTTCAAAATTTTATTTAAATTCTAGTTAGTGAACATTCAATGTAATATTGGTTTCAAAAGTAGAAATCAGTGATTCATCACTAATATACAACACTCAGTGCTCATCATAACAAGAGCCTTCTTTAATACCCATCACTCATCTAGCCATTCCCCCACCCTCCTCCCTCCATCAACAACCCTCAGTTTTTGTTCTCTATTTTTTTTTACAAATAGTTTATTGTCAAGTTGGTTTCCATATAACACCCAGTGCTCATCCCAACAAGTGCCCTCCTCCATGCCCCCCTCCTCCCTCCCCCCCCACACCCATCAGTCCTCAGTTTGTTTTCAGCATTCAAGAGTCTCTCATGGTTTGCCTCTCTCCCTCTCCCCCACTATTTCCACCCTTCTTCTCCCCTATGGTTCTCCATTAAGTTCCTCCTAATCCTCCTAAACGTGCAAACATATGATATTTATCCTTCTCTGCCTGACTTATTTCGTTCAGCATAACACCCTCAAGGTCCATCCATGTTGCTACACAAGGCCAGATTTCACTCTTTCTCATTGCCATGTAGTATTCCATTGTATAGATAAACCACATCTTCTTGATCCATTTGTCCGTGGATGGACACTTAGGCTCTTTCCATGTTTTGGCTATTGTTGAGAGTGCTGCTATGAACATTGGGGTACATGTGCTCCTATGCATCAGCATTTCTGTATCCCTTGGGTAAATTCCTAGCAGTGCTATTGCTGGGTCATAGGGGAGTTCTAGTGTTAATTTTTTGAGGAACCTCCACAATGTTTTCCAGAGGGGCTGTATAAAATGAGCATTTAATTTAAAGATGAACTTCAAACTATAATTTCCCCAGTTTCCAGTATTTCAATTAATCCTCCTAAGAACAAATTTACTGGACATATATTAATGCAAAAATACTTTTATAGTTTATAAAAAACTTTATAATTTTCTACCTATATCTTTCTTACCTACAGATTTGATACTGATCTTAAAAGCATATTAATTCAAATGCCCAGACACACAAAGATTTTCTTTTTGTTCCTTCCTGTAGTCTAGCTCAATTGGCTAATGTTGACATTCTGTGATTTTGCTTTGACTTTCAAACTCAATTATGTATAAGATGTGACTCTGCTGAATTAAAAAATGATAGGCTAATTAATATCTTACTCATCTAGTAGTTTCTATATTGGTATTTCTATTGAGAGTGGCATGTGCCTTAAAGTCAATGAGTAGTTTCTAGCAAACAGTCTTTCATAGCAGTTAGACTTGTGCTCTGGGCTCTGAATAAGGTCTTTATTTTATTGATTAGATTTAATGCTTCAAGATAGTTTTTATATCTGAAATTGCTAATTTGGAATATGTCCAGTTAACCCCCTTAAAATTATAATAATTAGAGCTCAAATTATTCTAAGGAATATTTTCAGTTTTCTCTTTTAACTCACCAAGGTATTTGGCACAACAGAGAAAATTTGCATAATAATAGCAAAAGCTAATGTTTCAAATGTCAATATGTTAATATTAGTCTACTTTAATATGTTTCAGGAAAAGATCATCAACTAATGATATAACAGTTGCGTATTAAGGCTTCTATGTTATAATACAATGTACTATAAACAACAGGAGATTATTTTCCACACAATAAAACTTGTATATTAAAGCATTTCTACAGGCTTGTATAGTTTTAGAAAACTATGGAGTGTTTTTAGAGTTTCTATCCTTGAGTGAGGTGGCATATTCTATTGAGGGCCATCAAATCACCTAAAGAAAATTATTGAGTATAAAATACACAGACCATTAGAGCTTAAAAAATAAAACCAGTAAGTATAAAACTATACAATAGCCCTGTGTTCCACTTTTGGCTTTTAAAGTTTATTAAATTTTCTTTTTTATTTTCTCATCTCTAACAAAAGAGGATTTTTGGGATTTCTTCCCTATCCCTCTAAATTAAAAATAAAAGGTTAAATTCCACTGATACTGAGACATACATCACTTCATATTTCGAAACCTCTGAATAAGCATACGTTTCCAATTGATGGCAGTGATTTTTTCCTTCATAGTGATAAATAATGGTGTGTCTTATAACTCATGATGTTGCAGATTCAATGAAATCTGATACTACAGTTGTGTGAGACATGATGGGCTTTGGAGTAAGCTAGTTAAGCATAGTTCATAGCTCTTCAATTCTTCCCTAATCCTTACATTTTAACTTGGGTAGGACTAAAACATTCTCTAGGATGTATCCCATGTGATAACCAGAATTATTAGAACCCTTAATGAGACAGGTTAAATTGAAACAAGTCAGTAGTTTTGTTCCCCTTTGGCCTGTGGTATAGTAAAGCAAAGATCTGTATCAGGATAGAAGGGGTAAAGTTTCTTCTAGCAGCGTTTCTTTAGACGTGAAGAGACAGGTTACTGATTCCAGTTTTAGGCTTATATACACACAGAGAAGACACCTATTCATGCTTCTGTTATGATTTATACTCAGCATAAGTGTACTTTTTATGTGACTAAAGAGTTAGATGCCAGTTTCTCTGTATAATTTCTGCCATTTTCTACTCATAGATTTAAGAAAATATAGAAAAGTGTTTACTCTTAAACTAGAGGAATTAAACTTTAAATAAGAATGTGTAACATTAGGGGTGCCTGTGTGGCTCAGTCAATAAAGCATTTGACTCTAGATTCTCATTCAGGTCATGATCTCCGGTATGTGAATTTGAGCCCCACATCAGGCTCTGTGCGGTCAGTGTGGAGCCTGCTTGGTATTGTATTGTCTCTCCCTCCTCCTCTCCCTGCCCCTCCCCAGCTAGCATTCTCTAAGTAAATAAATAACCTTAAAAAAAAAAAAAAAAAAAAAGAATGTGTAACATTAACATTCTTTGGAAATTTCTTCTAGTACTACTCAAGTAGTAAAACTTTAGTCCTCTGTGTTTATATATATAATGTATAAAATCAGTAACTGAAAATAACTAGTACTTGCTTAATATAGCAAAGCTTTCAGCTATTCCTAGAGAAGTATATTTGGAGAAAATGTTAACCACAGAGAAAATCTGTTTTAGAAGATTTTGATACTATAATAACCCTATAAATAAAGTTTAGGAACACTTTAGGCTTTGACACTAGGTCAACATTATGGTTTTATTTCATGTGTACAGTACAGTAGTAATAGTGGTGAAGGGATGCAGTGAGTGGTAATGGGAAGAGGAGATATGAGAGAGTGGGGAGGCTCCTTAAAGTACACTGTCTTGGCATTGACTTCTAACATATGGGATGGCTCAGAAGCATAAATAAATATGAGTGTGAAATAGCTAATCTCCATCGTTTTGTTGTAGAATATGCTGACATTCCTTACTAAAGTACACTGCAAGCAAAATTCATATTACCATCACAATAGTTAATCAGTCTGTGGTTCTTCACGTAGAGATGTAGTCCCATTTCCCCCAAGTAATGATTAAGCATTTCAATAAGAAGCTCTTATTGAAGATCATAAGGGAATAAGCAGAATTTAGTTGAAATCTATTGAATATACCCATGTATCTAACTAGATTCCCACTTGTTGGCTTTCATCTGATTTAGGATGCATGAGCAGTTCCCAAACTAGAAAAGTAGATTGTGAACTGTTTTTATCTCCCCATAAATGCTACATTCCGTTAACTAACACACATAACCAAAATCTGAGTATAAGAAATATTGAGGCAAATTCAGTGAGACAAAAAGTACACTAGGGGATACCAGGGATTTGTAGGGAGAAAAGAATGGGAAGTTATTGTTTCATGGGTACAGATTTTCAATTTGAGGCAATGAAAAAGTGTGGAAACAGATAGTGGCAATGGTTGGAAAGCATTGTGGATGTAATTAATACCACTTAGGTGTACACTTAAAATGGCAAATTTTAAGTTATATATATTTTACTACAATAAATAAAATTTTTGACCATGTGTGGTTTATAACTTATTCAAACTAATTAATAAAAATTATAGTTAATTTAGAATTGTATGTCCTTCACATGAAAGAGTTCATTAATTCTGTTCTGATTATAAATGTGATCTAAATATCTGAAGTTGTTCCTTTTCAGAAAAGAAATTTGAAGAACTTGAAGTATGACTGAAAAAAACAAACAAAAAATCAAAACAAACTTCTTACTTTAATTGGTTCGGGCTGCATCACAGGTGTAGGCATAGCAATGGCACTTGGAGCATAGACCTGGTGATATGTTGCTTGAACTCCATGATCAGAATAAGGCTGTTAACAAAAATAGAAAAAAAATGTATCGCCTTTCATTTATTAATTCAAAGTTTTATTCACCATTGCAATGTACTAGGCATTTTACTACATAATAGAGGAAAACAAATGGAAAATGCATTCCCTACCTTTAATTAATTTACAGACTTATCAGGGATAGTCGAGTAGTCAAAATTACCATAAATCCTATGAAACATGGATAGGAGAAAAGAAAAGAACTATTTGATTTAGCTTAAGAAACTTGGAGAGGTAGTCAGGAAAAGTTTTCTAGTGACGTTGATGCTTGAATTTGAAGAATTAGGTTAAGAAGATGGGAATAGTATATGCAAAGACAACTAAGAACACTCCTCACTTCTCCAGGCATGTAAGAAGAAAAAGGAAATTATGTACAAGGGAGAAAATCAGGGCTGGCTTCAAACTTCTTTATGGCTACACTTAACACCAGAGAAGAGTACACTAGGAGTTCTATAAGAAAATAGTATTGCTTTTTGTTAAAAAAAATTTTTTTTAATGTTTTATTTATTTCTGAGGGAGAGAGAGACAGCGTGAGCAGGGGAGAGTCAGAGAGAGAGGGAGATACAGAATCTGAAAAAGGTTCCAGGCTCTGAGCTAGCTGTCAGCACAGAGCCTGATGTGGGGCTTGAACCCACGAACCATGAGATCATGACCTGAGCCGAAGTCGGATGCTTAACCGACTGAGCTATCCAGGCACCCCTAGAAAATAGTATTGTTAAGGGTTGAATTGTGTTCCCTGAAAACTTCTATTTTGAAGTCCTAACCTCTAGTACATCGGAGTGTGACCTTATTTGTAGACAGGGTATTTACAGAGGTAATCAAGTTAAGGTATGGTCATTTGAGTGAAACCTAATCTAGTATGATTGTTATCCTCACAGAATTGAGAAATGTGGACACAGAGATGGAAAAGATAATGTGAAGACACAGGGAGAAGATGGCCATAGACAAGTTAAAAAGAGAGGCCTCAAACAGATGCTTCCCTCATGGCCCTCAGTCCAAATCAGTCCTGCCTACATCTTGGTCTTCAACTTCTAGTCTCTAGAACTATTGATAATAAATGTCTGTTGTTTAAGCCACAATTTTTTGTACTTTGTAGTGGCAGTACAATGTAGCTATTGTATAGCTAGTGTAACTATCTTTCAGATTTATAGACAACAATATTCAACAAACAAGCATATAAGAACTCAGAGAATGTAGAACCCACAGGCTTTCTATAACAAAGAATATTTAAAGATTCAGTCAACCAGGTGATGAATGGAAGGTGAGATGAAAAATGGAGAAACTCTATTAGAAGTAGTGATAGTAACATTAAGATCCAATTGTGGAAATTATTGTTCCAGAATATCATCATAATGTTATTAACATTAGCAATATAAAAAAGTAATATAATATACTCTAGTTGGGAGGTGGGTGCTAATTTTCTAATCTTTCATAACACTGATTTAAAACATACCTGTACAGTTCCTGGCACATAGATGGTAACGTAAGTAATAGTTTGGAAATGCAATTTAAAGACACTGAAGTTGATATTTACAATTTGTAGTTACGAAGTATTTTTGATTTGCATTTTTGAAGAAAGATTTTTTTAGATTTTTTCTTCTTTAATTTTTATATGCTTTTAATTGACAGAATGTTACTAACAATACAGATTGACAGGCAAACCAAAAGAAAGAGAAGTATTTGGTACCTTACTCTTTCAAGGAGATCAAGTCAGAGATTAGCCTAGTACGGTGAACAGTTGATTTCAGAAATGGTTCAGAACTAGTTAATGAGGAAGTCTAAGCTGGAGCATTCTTGAGATATTAAAGAGGAAAAGATGTGAATAAATCAAAGAAGAAAGATGTGCAGCTTCCATGAGGGTCTTCAACAAATATTTTTAGAAAAGGAAAGAAATAAATGTAAAGATGAGGTAGTTATAGATAAATTACTTTGAGACTAATACATACCTCTGGAACTGAAGCTTCCATCAGAGACAGTGGAGGAGGTACACATGCACCATCTTGTGCGATTTCCACTGGTTGATAGATAACCTCAGAAGGTTGCAGGTATAAGAATGGAGCAGAAGATGCAGGAGACTAAAACACAAAGCCATATTTCCATATCAAATATGATTAGTTATTTCAGTTAAAGCAAATAACTTAACCAAGAGATGACAGAAATATTTGGTTCATATCTTGCTGAAGTTCTTCCAGGAACAGTATAGAAGTATCTTAGCAACAAACAAGGACCTCCTGGTTGTTATAGATTCCAATTGTGTAGAGGTGATTAAAGAACTTTATCACTGGTAAATACTAAAGTTTCTTAATGTTTCAGAACCTCATTTATAAATTCAGATAATAATTATATTAAGATAATATAATATATTAAAAGTTGTAATAATATAACTTACAGTGTTTAAATTGGCATAAATGCCTATTCTCAGCTTTGTGACTTCACATGGAAATGCATACTGTCATTAAATAGTCTTTTTGGTGGCATACGATTTGTATCAAGAGTTGAGAAATAGAATATTTAATAAGGAGCACAAGTCAAACTGAAGCAAAATATGAAGTAAAACTTGAAAAATGCTTTATTTCCCCATAATATTAATAATAAAAAGTAATTTGCATGTTTATATAAGTACTCACTTTTTTTTAATGTTTTATTTATTTTTGAGAGAGAGAGACAGAGACAGCATGAGCAGGTGAGGGTCAGAGAGAGAGGGAGGCACAGAATCTGAAACAGCCTCCAGGCTCTGAGCTAGCTATCAGCAATGAGCCCAACACGGGGCTTGAACCCACGAACCGCGAGATCATGACCTGAGCCAAAGTCGGCCGCCCAACTGACTGAGCCACCCAGGCACTCCATAAGTACTCATTTCTTAATGAAATGCTTTCACTTACACGATCTCATGTGATATTCACAAAGATCAGGTAAAGAAATTTACAAAGGTATGGTATCATTATGTCCATGTTACAAATGGGGAAGCTTCCTTAGCTTAGTAAATGAACTGCCAAAGGTATCACAGTTACTAAATAGAAAAGGAAAATCTCAAATCTAGTTCTTCTGACTTTAATATTCATGTAGTCTTTACAAAAACACAATGAAAAAGGTTAATATTTACCTGAGGAACGCCCCACTGCCACTGTCCTGGTAGACACTGTGCAGGGGCCTAAAGTGAAAAACAAAACAAACCCACCCACATTATAAACAAGGGTCAAAACTGGATATCTACATGCAAAGGAATGAAGTTGGATCCCTACACTTCAAAACTCTATACAAAAATTAACTCAAACTGGGTCAAAGACCTAAAAATGTAAGAGCTAAAACTATAAAACTCTTAGAAGAAAACATGTGTAAATCTTTGTGGGTTTGAATTAGGCAATTAAAAAAATTCATGAAAAGCAAAAGAAATAAAGCAACAAAAGAAAAAAGAGAGAAATTTGACTTAACTGGAATTAAAAATTTTTGTGTTACAAAGGATACCAAGGATGTGAAAATGAACTCAAAGGATGGGAGAAAACATTTACAAATTATATATCTCATAAGCAATTTGCTTCTAGAATATATAAAGACCTGTTATAACTCAATAATAAAAGTAAAATAACCCAAATTTAAAAATGGGTACAGGATATAAATAGACATTTCTCCAAAGAAGATATATAAAAATAGCCAATAAGCATATGTAAAGATATTCTACATCATTAGCCTTGGCTTATGGAAATAAATGTGATACCACTTTATATACACTATATCCACTAGAAAGGCTATAATAAAAAAAGTAGATAAGTGTTGACAAGAATGTAGAGAAATAAGAATCCTCATAAACTGCTGGTGTGAGTGTAAAATGGTGCAGCCCTTTTGGAAAACAGTATGACACTTCCTCAAAACTTTAAACATAGAGATACCATATGACTTGGTGATTCTACTCCCAGGTAATAAGGCCTAAGATAAATGAAAACATATGTCCACATAAAGATGTGTACAGGAATGATCATAGCAGTATTATGTGTAACAGACAAAAAGTGGGAACAACCCATATGTTTGTTATCTGATGAATAAACAAAATGTGTTATATCCATATAATGGAATATTACTCAAGCCATAAAAAGGAATGAAGTGCTGGTATATGCCATCACATGGATAAACCTTGAAAACATTATGTTAAATTAAAGAATCTAGTTAACAACTATATATAGTAGGTTACATTTATATGAAATGTTCAGAAGCTACAAACACATAAAGATTACTGGTTGCCTATGGCTAGGAGTGGGAAGAAAGCAGAGTGACTGTTAATGGGTAGGTTTTTTTGCAGGGGAGAGGGGGTTGATTAAAATGTTCTAAAATTGACTGTGGTGTGGTTGCACAACTCTGTGAATTTAGTAAAAACCACTCTATTAACACATTTTAAAGAGCTGAATTGTATGCTATGTGAATTATATGTAAAAAAGCCATTATTTAAATAAAAGAGGGCCAAATCATTTAAGATATTTATTGTAAGATGACAATATAAGAGACTTTTACTTCTTAAATTAGTTTTATTATTTCTTAATAATAAATATTTTATTCTTTATTTTCCATTTTTAATAAAGTCTTTTTTCATTATACAGTCAAAAACAGAGAGTAAGAAGACCCCATGGATCTACCATCTAAACCAAATCACTGTCAATTAATGCTAACTGCCTTCAATTACTAATGGATGACATCACTGTATTATAATGACCAAGATAATATATATAAATATATATAGATATATAATATACAAACCAAGATAATATAATATATATTATATACATAATATATAATGTGAAGTCTATGTTCTGTATACTATATTCAAAAAGGCAGGATAATAAGTAATCTCTTAAAATGTTTTAATAAAATATCTGAAATAAAATGATTTATAAAAAGTTTTTATACAAATGAAATCACTATCTACTTGTGAAGATAAATACTAATTAAACCATGCATTATCTGCTTTGACTAATAAAAACTACTAAAGCTACCAAGCTTAGAATTTATTAAAAAAAAAAAAGCTAGGAAAGATTCTTATCAAAGAGGTAATTCTTTCTTTTTAAAGAGGTAATTCTTATCAAAGAGGCAGAATGATGAATATATACCTGAAAAGAAATATGTGAGGTGAAATTTTTATTGTATTACAAAATATTATTTTGTTATAAACTGGTACCAAAATCTTTCCTGAGTAACATCTAGGTAATATAGTTCCAAGTGTATAATTGTATCAAGCAGAATACCAGAGTCAAAGTCTAAAGTTAAATTTTTTAGAAACTTTTATTTTTTTTAATGTTTTATTTATTTTTGAGAGAGAGACAGAGATAGCATGAGCAGGGGAGGGTCAGAGAGGGAGGGAGACACAGAATCTTAAGCAGGCTGCAGGCTCTGAGCTAGCTGTCAGCACAGAGCCCGACGCAGGGCTCCAACTCATGAACCATGAGATCATGACCTGAGCTGAAGTTGGACGCTTACCTGACTGAGCCACCCAGGCACCCCTAGAAACTCTTAAGAATGTATTTGATATGTCAAGTGAGCTATAGCTAGCTGCATGTACTCAATTAATGAAGGAGGAGCTGGACTCAGTAGGGTACAAACAGAAGACAGCTCTATTCTTTCTCACCCCCTGACACTTTAAAAGTACTACGTTGAGCTTTTCTTCCTTGACCCTAGATAAAAATGAGGACAGATCACTTTTTGGGATGTGGCAGATTCCAAATGCTGACTCTCTAGTTAGGTAGTTTGCTGGAGTCTTTGGTGATCTCCCTGCTGAGAACTTCTAACTACAATTCTAGCCCTTGATTCTAGAAGTCTACTTCACACAGATTCTTTCTTTATTGGGGTCATCTTAAAATTTTTTGAAAAGGGTTTCTTCAGGGGCGCCTGGGTGGCTTAGTCGGTTGAGCGTCCGACTTTCGCTCGGGTCATGATCTCGCGGTTCGTGGGTTCGAGCCCCGCGTCGGGCTCTGTGCTGACTGCTGGCTCAGAGCCTGGAGCCTGTTCAGTCTGTCACTCCCTCTCTTTCTGACCCTCCCCTGCTCACGCTGTCTCTCTCTCTCTCCTAGAAATAAATAAAAACATTAAAAAAAAAAAAGGAAAAGGGTTTCTTCTGTGAGGTTCACATCTTGCTCTCCCATATAAAACTTTCATGTTGTGAGTAGAAGTTCAACACATTCCCACTGTAGTCTTCTCTCCTTCTCTCCAGGCTTTGCCTCCAGAGACTAGTTCAGCTGCTTCTTTGGATGTTTTTAGAAGAGGTCAGGTGCATTAAGCTCTTTTAGTCATTCTCTGATGTCCCCTTTACTTGGTTGAGAAGAAGGGGAAATGCCACAGCATTCTAACAATTCTCTTATTCAAGAAAATCTTGCTACCAATCTCCCTCAGCAATCTCATCCTCCCCTCAATGTGTTCAAAGTAGACAATAAGCTAAGGGTCCTCAAACTGGTTTCACAATATTTGGATTGTCATGTTAAAAGGTGTCATGTTAAAAGAACTGATATTCTGTCTTTGGGGCTTCTGCTAAACTTTTGAGGCAGCTTAGAAAAAGTGATACCACATATATATTTTAAATATATGCCATTAAGTTATTTTCATTTTTAGTAAGTGAAGGAAACACTTTAAATATTTTATATTTAGCATGGTAATAGAATTGATACATTTACCTATAAATAAAAATTATAGCATAATATATGTTAACATATAATAATATAACAAATTTAAATAAATTTAAATTTTAAATTCTATTTAAAATTAATTCTCTCTCCCCAAACCCCAATCTAATACTAAAAAGAATTCCAGTAAACTTAACACTTGATGTGGCTGTATTTTAAATGTTCAAAAAAAAAAAAAAAGAAAGAAACAAAAATTCTCTTCCACTATTCCAGAAGTAGGAAAGAATGTGATTTTTATTTGTGAATGCTATAGACTAGAGGTTGGCTGGTTGGTTTTCCTGTAAAGGGCCAGAGAGTGAATATTTTAAGCTTTGCAGGCCATAATATCTCTGTTAGAACTACTAAACTCTGTCATTGTAGTACAAAACCAGCCAGAGATAGTATATAAGTAAATACAAGATATGTAAACAAATCATCTATTTACAAAACACCAAAATAGTCTAGCATTATGGATCACTTATCACCAATCTCCCACAGAATTAATGAAAGAGTGCTGGTTAACTAAAAGAAGCTGTCATAATATAAACCATAATGTATTACTTATTTTAATACAGATTATGTCATGTATAATAGCAAGGATGTAACATAATGTTAACAATAACATTAAAAAATTAGCCTGTGACTCTGAATGTGTTATCTATAGACTTTTTAGATTAAATGTTAGCCAATGATGCAAGAGTGACCTCATTACATTTGGTTAAATGAAGCAAACATTCAACTTTCTTGTATGATATTGTTTAGTTCCTCATATGAAAAAACACTGTTATCAAGGCTTAACTATCTCATTTTAATTACTAGAGTTCTTGCAAGAGAAAGAGTGCAATGAAATTTACCCAAAAAAGGTCTGAAGATAATTTTCATTTTAATTTCACGTTTACCTGGTAGTGATATGCAGGTTGCTGATAAACTGGCTGAGCTACCATCACAGGGGAACTAGAGATAGAACGTGACTGTAAGAGGGAAAAAAATTGAAAAATTAATTTAGGCCTAGGAAAAAATCTTTAAAATAGTTTATTATAAAATTTATCTCGAATTGTTACCTAAACCCAGTCAACTTGTGGTCTATGATTGGAAATGTCATTTTTCTATCTGTTATTGATAGAATTACCAATTCCACTTAAGTCTACTAAAATCATCACAGTAGCCCCACTTTTATTTGGTTTCATTTCCGTGGTAATGCTAAAACAATCACCAGACAAGTTGTTTTTCGTTCAGATTATGAAAATATAGTACTAAAAGAATATTAAAAAAAAAATGGCAGGTGGACTTAAGGTGACACTGGTCATGAGACCGGCAGTAGATGATGTTAACATAACATATAGAACTGAATGAATAATCACATCTGATTTTGCCACTGATTTCACACTACTTACAAAAAATTAAATCCTATTCCTTTGTTACACATTTAATTAAGGCCAAACATTTAAAAAAAAGTTTTTTAATGTTTTATTTCTGAGAGACAGAGAGAGACAGCATGAGCAGGGGAGGGTCAGAGAGAGAGGGAGATACAGAATCTGAAGCAGGCTCAAGGCTCTGAGCTGTCACACAGAGCCCAACACGGGACTCGAACCCATGAACTGTGAGATCATAACCTGAGCCGAAGTTGGATGCCCAACCGACTGAGCCATCCAGGCACCCCAAGGCCAAAGATTTCTTATTGAAGCATTTATCAAGTTCTATTTTATTAATTTGACATTTAAATGGGTTAATCATCCAGGGTGCCAGGGTGGCTCAGTTGGTTAAGTGTTCAACTCTTGATTTTGGCTCAGCTCACATTCTCCCAGTTCATGGGGTCAAGCCCTGCGTCTGTCTCTTTGCTGACAGTGTTGACCCTGCTTGGGAATCTCCCTCTCCCTCTCTCTCTCTGACCCTCTCCTGCTTGTTTTCACACACACACATGTGTTGTCTCTTTCTCTCAATAAATAGAAATTTTAAAAAAATGAGTTAATCATTCAATAAACTTCAAGTGATTTACATATAACACTTGATTATTCAAAGTAATAGAGTAAATCCCAAATTAGATTATTTAAAACCAGACCACTAATAAAACAGGCAGATTGTATTATAAGATAGTTAAAATAAGCTTTAATGATATCAATTAAAATTCAATTTCTAATATGGGATCTAACTTGTTTTGTTTTAACGTGCACTGCACCACCCCACCCACAAAATGAAGAAAAGTACCATTGTACAATTTTCAGCCTATCATATGCTAATAAAATTGTAAAGAGATTAACATTAGAAAAGAATAATATAATTTACTATATTAATTTAATTTCTAATAATAGATTAAAGGGGGAAAAAATCTCAGCAGCACAGAAAAAGCATTTGTTAAATTTCAGTACCCCTTATGCTAAAGTGAAATTAGTCAGAGAAAGATAAATATCATATGACTTCATTCATATGAGGAATTTAAGATATAAAACAGATGAACATAAGGGAAGCAAAAATAATATGAAAATAGGGAGGGGGACAAAACATAAGAGACTCTTAAATATAGAGAACAAAGAGAGGATTGCTGGAGGGGTGGTGGGAGGGAGGATGAACTAAATCGGTAAAGGGCATTAAGGGACCTATTCCTGAAATCATTGTTGTACTATATGCTAACCACCTTGGATGAAAATTAAAAAATTAATTAATTATAAAATAAAATAAATATGCTTAAGGAAAAAAATTCAATACTCTTTCATGATACATTCAATACTCTTTCATTCTTTGCAAAGAGAATATAAAACACCTTTCTTAATTGACTTGGGGCAATAATTCTCAATCAGGTCCGACCTTGTCCCTCTAGGGAACATTTGGCAATACTTTTGGTTTTTATAGATGTGAGGAGGCTAGGACACTGCTAAAAATCCAATGTACATGACAGCCTCCAACAACAAAGAATCATCTGGCCCAAAATGTCTGGTGCTGAGGTTGAGAGATCTTGGTTAAATCTAAGATTATCTTCCAAAACCTACAGTATATATGTGTGTGTGTGTGTGTGTGTGTGTATACATATATACATTTATACATACATACATATGTATACATACATATACATATATAATATAAAGAATAGTGGTGAACCACTGAACTTGTTTCCTTTCTCAAGGACAAGGTCATGTTGTTATCATATAAATACTGTAGCAGAAACAATGCCAATGCAATAGCTTAATGGGAAAAAAAGGAGAAAAGAGCAGAAAAAAACAAGTACACTGAATAATAAATAATTGTCTATATGAGAGTTTTGAAGGGTTGCTGGTAGAATATTAACACTTAAAAATCAAAAGCATTACTACCCATCAGTTGCAACCTATTAGGAAATGTGATTTAAAAAAATGCCATTCTGAAAATCAATAAAAACTATTAAGTGCCAAGAATAAATCCTAAAAAAAGAAGTACTAAACTATTTCATGGAAAAAGAAAATTTTATGGGCAGATGGAAATGAAAGACCTGTTTGTGGATGGTAAAATTCAGTATTATACCTAAATTAATCTACATATTTAATGCAATTGTAATAAAAACCCAACAAAGCCTTTTCACAGAATTGGACAAGCTAGATTATAACATTTATATTTATAAAAATAAAGACTGAAAGGTAGATGACAGACTCCTGAAGAAAAAAGCGATAGGCCTGCCCTATCAGATTTTAACACTAGTTCTAAAGCAACAGGAACGAAAACAGAATTCGGCAGGGGAAACAAATACACCAATGGAATAGAACTGAGAGCCCAGAAGAAAACCCCACTTCACCCCCACCCCAGAAATGTGGCATTTCACAGAGGATTCATTTCAAAACAGTGAAAGAGGATGAATTAGTCAATATATGAACTCCAGATTTAAGATCTAGATGTTGAAAACAGCAGCATTACAGTATTTTACAAATAAAATATATTTTTATAAAATATAAAATAAATCTATATTCTAGTAATAAGGAAGTGTTTTTTAAAACAAGATACTAAAAGATAAAGCCATAAAGAAATAGAAATAACCTCCAATAGAAAATAAAATAACCCCACTGGACAAAGGATATGAAGAGGCACCTCAGAGAAAAAAGTGGAATGGCCAATAAATACATGAAATATGTTCAGTCTTACCAATGATTGAACAAATAAAATAACAACATACTATTTCATAATAACACTGGCAAAAATTTAAAATGAAAGGGTTGGCAGGTTATGGAGAAATTGCAGCTCTCATAAACTGTAAGCTAAAGTGTAAACTGGTATATTTGGAAAGCCATTGGGCAACATATAGTCAAAGATGTTTATATTCTATAATGTGAAATTTTACTGCTATGCATATATTATACCCTAGACTAAGATAGTGTGGTAGGGTCCCCTCCCTAAGGAGAGAATAAAGAAGAGAGAAAAGGAAAAAAAAGAACTTCAAGGTAACCTGGTTATGTGTCTATGTGACAACATCCCTCATGACATTGTAAACTGAGACCACTTAATGAGACTACTTGTTTGTGTGTGTTACGGGTTATAACTGACATATATCATATTAGTGTCATGTTAATCATACAATATGATTATATATATACACATATATATTACAAAATGATAACATGACAATCACAGTCTAATTATCATCTATCACTACACATAGGCCATTTCCTTTTTTTTTTTTTTTAAGAGAGAGTGTGAGTTGGGGAAAAAGGCAGAGGGAGAGAAAGAGAGGGGCAGAGAGAGAGAGAGAGAGAGAGAGAAATAAGGCTCGATCCCGTGCCCTTGGGATCATGACCTGAGCCAAAATCAAAAGTCAGCCCACAACACTTCCTATTCTTAAATGAAACCTACAGCTACAAAGTTTTACAAAATATATATCTAAAGTAAATCTATAATATTCTACAATACATAATATTCCTAAATTATTTAAAATTATGACAAATTTCAGGGGCACTTTGGTAGCTCAGATGATTAAGCATCTGACTTTGGCTCAAGTCATGATCCCACGGTTTGTGAGTTTAAGCCCCATGTCGGGCTCTGTGCTGACAACTCGGAGCCTGAAGCCTGCTTCAGATTCTGTGTCTCTGCCCCTCCCCCAACGACACTCTCAAAAATAAATAAACACTAAGAAAATAAAATTATGACAAATTTTAGATATCATCTTAAAAATGAGTGAGACAATGTATAATTTTTCAGAAAATTTTTAGAGGATATAGAAGGAAAAACTTTGAAGACCACTTTCCTAGACAAACTCTCACACAATCCATACAAGAGCTGGATGTTCACTGTACTCTTGATTACAGAAAGAAACTTAATGGGGTGCCTGGGTGGCTCAGTTGTTTAAGTGTCCGACTTCAGCTCAGGTCATGATCTCACAGTTCATGGGTTTGAGCCCTGCATCAGGCTCTGTGCTGTCCAGAGTGTTCGAGCCCCGCATCAGGCTCAGAACCTGGAGGCTGCTTCAGATTCTGTGTCTCCTCTCTCTGCCTCTCCTCCACTCATGCTCTCACTATGTCTCTCAAAAATAAATGTAAAAAAAAAAAGAAACTTAAAATGTCCATCAGTAGGGGAACATACACTGATATAATATTCCATTTGTAATGGAATATTATAAAATATTAAAATAAGTGAATTAGATATACTAGGACCACCATGGTTTAATCTCAAAAACATAATGTTGAGTAGAAAAACTAGATTATTTACATAGTGTTTAAGAATCACCCCAAATAATACTACCTATTGTTTAAGGATACCTACATTTGTAGAAAAACCAAAAAATGATAGGAAATACATTCTGGTTATATATTCTGGATATATCTGAGGAGAAAAAGAGGTAAGAAAGTGGGGGCAAGGAAATTTTAGCTGAATTTCTCATATTTTATTTCTCCCTATTGAATGAATGTAAGTAAATATGGCAAAATGTTAACATCTATTAAATTTAAGTGGTAGCTACATGGCCGTTATTTTATTATTTGTGCTTGTCTGTGGTTGAAATATTTCAGAAATAAATATTTTGGGGCACCTGGGTGGCTCAGTTGGTTGGGCGTCCGATTTCGGCTCAGGTCATGATCTCACAGTTCGTGGGTTCGAGCCCCATGTCAGGTCTGTGCTGACAGCTAGCTCAGAGTCTGGAGCCTGCTTCAGATTCTGTCTCCTTCTCTCTCTGACCCTACCCTGTCTGTCTGTCTGTCTGCTCACGCTGTCTGTCTCTCTCTCTCTCAGAAATAAATAAAACATTAAAAAAAATTTTTAAAAAGAAATAAATATTTTACAAAATCGACAGAATAGATGGAAAGTTTCAAAGATGAAAATTACTTACAGGCCAAGGTGGTGGGACAGAAGTTACCTCTGGAGTATGAAAATAAGCAACACCATTATGATAAGTATAAGGATATCCAGTTGAAGTTGTTAGATACATTGTTCCAGCTGCTGGCATTATACTGGAACCTAAAGCAAAGATTAATAATAAATTGTTCAATTTATTTTTAAAATGGTAGTTTCTGAACATTTGAAAATGTTTATCTTAACACACCTGTATAGTTATGGTAAAAATTGAATACTGCAAATTTTAAAAAAATTCCATATGTTAAAATCTCTTTGAAGTATATATTTTCAAGCTTACTATCTTAGAGCTTTTATTAGCTAAATGCAAGAGAAAGAAACAAGTTCAATAAAGAATATTAAAAATTCATTAATTTAGATTTTAATACCAATGTAACAAAACACAAAGCTTAACAATTTAAATTGTCAGCAAGGTCATTATTTTTACAAATATAAATTATATATAAAGTTAACTGAAGACTATAGACACTATAATAAAGTTCTCAAGACCTTAGTAAGATCTATTATTTGTAAAAGGCCAAAGATGATGAAGTCAGTGAAATTGGAAAAGATTCCATACTTTCCTGAAGACATTTTGGTTCTACCCCACAAATTCTTTGGATCATGTTTGTTGCTGTTGCAAACATGACCACAAATCTTCCATGTGGTGAGTTCCGGGTCCCCATCTCTTTTCTCAGATCTAGTTATGTATATCCCTCCCCCCAAATTAAAAAAAATATATATGTTTTTGTCAGAACACTTGAAAAATTTATATAAGCCAAGTTATATTAAGTACTTGACTAGCAAATTTATGTAAATTACTGGAACTGGAAATCCAACCTTCCCCTATACCAGTGATTCTCAACATTTAACATACATTAGAATAACCTAGATAGCTTATTAGAATACAAATTCCAGGGCCACATGTGCAGAGATTTAGATTCAGTAAGTCTGGGATAGGGTCTGGAACTCTGACAGATTCCAAGTGAACTGTAACTGGCTGCAAACCACATGGTGAGTAGCACTGGCCTACCATTTTAAGCAGCACTACTGCTCTCAGCTTTTATATTTTCACTGTGTTTCATCTAGAATTGTTACTGCTTACTTTGGTGATTCTTAATTCCATCCTTTTGAGAATCTGATGAAAGCCATAGAGGTCTTTCTCATATATACACACACACACTGAAACAAAATTTCCCTCCAAAGATAATCAAGGAACGACCGGTTTATCTGCTAAATGAATGAATCAATGGATGAATGAATGGATAGATGAATTTTAAGTCAGTACGATTACAGAGCATTGACCTTGGCTGGTGATACACCCAAAAAGAAAAAAGAAAAACAATGGACATATCATATGGATGTTAGGCTCTGGTGGGAAAGATAGTTATTAGCTAGCTACATAATTGATTAATTAAATAGAATTTTGATAAAAACAGTAGGATGTACTCTATTATACCGGGTAGTATGAATGTTCCAGTTATATTTAATTTGTGAGGAAATGATGTTTGGGCTGAGCTTTAAAGAATGAATGGGATGGGGGGCGCCTGGGTGGCTTAGTCGGTTAAGCGTCCGACTTTCACTTAGGTCATGATCTCGCGGTTCGTGGGTTCGAGCCCCGCGTCGGGCTCTGTGCTGACTGCCAGCTCGGAGCCTGGAGCCTGTTTCAGTCTGTGACTCCCTCTCTCTCTGACCCTCCCCTGCTCACGCTGTCTCTCTCTCTCTCTCTCTCTCTGTCTGTCTCTCTCTCTCCTAGAAATAAATAAAAACATAAAAAAAAAAAAAGAATGAATGGGATGGGAATGGAATGGCAAAGAACAGTCTAGGTAAAGGAAGTAAAGTGTATATCAGGAGTATGGTATATTCTGGAACTGAGAGAAGGCTATATGCCTAAAGCATGGGAAGAAAAGGAAAGGTTAGTTCAAAATAAGCAGAAAATAACATGAGATGTGCACTTTTGAAAGAGCACTCTGGCTTCCTTGTGTATGATGGGTTGAAAGGTACCAAGAGTGGATTCAGAAAGACCAGTTAGGAGGCTTTTCCAGTAATCAAGGCAAGAAAAGTGGGTAGCTTAGACTAGAATGTTGGTAATGAAGATGGAAAAAAAGCAGCAGATTTGAGAAAAAATTGAGATAAGAATCTCCTGTATTTTGTAAATCTACTTTTATACTTAATATTTATTTGCAGAAAAGTATAATGAGCTTTGGAGACAACCTGTCCTGGATTTGAAGGCTGATGCTACCATTGGTTATATAGTTACTTACCATTATACTTCTCAAATCACCATCTGAAAGCATTCAGCATAGTGATTCATGGGTTTTTTTGTTTGTTTGTTTTGTTTTGTTTTAGCAACTTGTATGTCATAATATGAACATTACCTACTGTTGGTGATAAAGAACAGTTACTGTATGTTACAGCTTAATTCTTGGAACCAACAAGAAAGAAGTATTAACCTACTGAAGACACTTCACTTAATCTTCTAAATTAACAAATAACTAAGTCAAAATTAAACTTGATTGACTGTTAACTTCTAAGTCAAAAACAGACCATCCAAATGAGTACAACTATTAATTTGTTAACAGATGTACAATCACCACTTAATGTTTTAAACATCCCAGTAGATACTAGGACACAACTAAGGAAGAATAGGAAAATTCAGTTACTAATTTTATTATCTCCTTCTAGCCAAAGATTGTTATAGAGTTTAATAAATACTTACATAGAAAGCTAATTGTAAAGATGCCTAGTATAATAAATAGAAAGATTGAGGGAAAAAAGCAGAGTTGAAAACCTTACAGAAATTTGAGAAAGGCAAATAACTTAGCCAATTATTAAAGCTTCAGGAATTGTTCCCTCTGATAATCATGACGCATCTAGTTGGGCTATAGTATCTACCATGCAACTAGAGTTTCTGATACTGGTTCTTTATTTTTACTTTCAGTAGTTTAAATTTAAACTTCTAATTTTAAATTACTTTTCTAATTATGAAAATTTCTAATTAGTAATGCCAAATTACTTCTAATTATCTTTGTAATTTTAAATTATATTTTTATTTTAGAAGAGTTTTCCTTTAAAGATGTAACTATATGTAATATATGTAAGCGCCATTATTTGTGTAGAATTTTCTCTAGCCCTGAAAATCTAACATATATTAATTTGTGATAAGAAATATCATTTGACCACCAACATTGCTAAAATAACTTTATTAAATGAAAGAACTCTGACCTTTTAATGAAATTCTAGAGAAAGTCTAATATTTCAAAAAAGAACCATGTAAAAATACTGAAAAATACATTAGTTCTCAATACATACGAGGAATTCCTACTTGTTGTTTTCTTATTGCTGGACCAATGTTCAGTTTCTTATCTTTATAATTAAGTTTTTCAGCCTAGAATAAGAAAAAGCTTTTTTATTATTTTGGCACTACTGCTTTATAAAACCAATAGTAAAAAAACAGTAAGAAACATTTTAAAAATTCAGACCATAATATTTTTTGAAAGCAGCAAGAGTACTGGAAAGGGCAAAGTCTTTGAATATTAAAGATCTGGGTTTGAATCTTGGTTCCAATGCCCTGACCCTAATTCTTTAATAGGAATACAGTCAAGCCTCTATTCGTAGATCCCATATTTGGGAATTCACCTACTTACTAAAATTATTTGTAACCCCAAAATCAATACTTGTGGTAATTTAGTGGTTACTAGTGGACATGGGCAGAGAGGTGAAAATTTTGAATTGCATGACATATATGGTCTCAGCTAAGGTCAAACAAGGCAATACTCTTCTTGTTTCAGCTTTTACAGTGAAAACAAGGGTTCATTTCATGTTCTATTTAGTGTCATGTTTTTTTGCATTTTTGTGTTTTATGTTGGTGATTTTGCCATATTTTTTATTTTGTTACTTAAAATGGCCCTCAAGTGTGGTGCTGAAGTGCTAGCTAGTGTTCCCATGCCCAAGAAGAATGTCATTTACCTCATGGAGAAAATATGTGTTAAATGGGTTTAATTCAGGTATGTGTTATATAGGACTGTTGAACAGGAGTTGAATATTATTGAATTAACAATATATTTAACATGATGTCTTTTAACAGAAACACACATAAAACAAAGTTATGTATTAATTGGTTAGAGATAATGTAGGGGCATATGGATGGCTCAGATGGTTAAGCGTCTGACTTCAGCTCAGGTCAGATCTCACAGGTTCCTGAGTTTAAGCCCTGTGTCAGGCTCTGCACGGACAGCTCAGAGCCTGCTTCAGATTCACTGCCTCCCTCTCTTTCTGCCTTCACCCCGCTCGTGCTCTCTCTTTCAAAAATAAATAAACATTAAAAAAGAATAATGTACCCAGAAACTTGTGGGAACCTAGTCTTGTATTTCTTCTAGCAGTCCAATATTTGCCAATTCAAAGTTCATAGTGACACAGAACATAACTGCTATAAATAATAAGGATCAGCTGCATATGATTTAGTAATATACAATTCAAACTATTTTTTCCTTAAAAAATTAACTGTTATATCTACCAAATTTAATTATTACACTGAACTTCAGGCTATAGACTTCTTATATGAATGTTCTTAGTTTATATAAAGTTCTTCACGGGAGGGAAGTAATCTCAGATAATTTCACTCTAGTGTTGTAGTGATTTTAGGAATTCAAAGTGCTATTAACTAACACTTCAGAAAAAATATATCCCCAAGTTCTTGGTTTAAGCAAATAAAGTAAAAAATTATATTACAAGTTGACAAACGTATGCAATGATTTAGAATTTGTTTTTTTATTGATAAAATTTCTGTTTAATCTTTTTTTTAAAAAGATTTTTTTAAAGGTAATCTCTATACCTAACCTGGGGCTCAGACCTACAGCCCTAAGATCAAGTGGTGCATGGTCCACTGACTCAGCCAGGTACCCCTGCTTAATCTTAAAAAAAATTTTTTTTTTAAATTTTAGACAGAGGTGACTCAGTCAGTTAAGCGTCTGACTTCAGCTCAGGTCATGATCGCACGATTTGTGGGTTGGAGACCCGTGTAGGGCTTTGTGCTGACAGCTCTGAGCCTGGAGCCTGTCTTTAGATTGTGTGCCACCCTCTCTCTCTGACCCTCTCCTGCTCATACTGTCTCTAACTCTCTCTCTCAAAAATAAATTAAAAAAATTAAATTTTAGACAGAGAGAGAGAGAAAGAGCGTACGCGCGCGAGAGAGCGTATGAGCAGGGTTCGGGACAGAGGGAGAGAGAGAGAATCCCAAGCAGGCTTCACCCTCAGTGTGGAGCCTGATGCAGGGCTCTATTCCATGACCCTGGGATCATGAGCTGAGCCGAAATCAAGAGTTGACCACTCAACTAATTGAGCTACCTAGGAGTCCTTAATCTTTTTCTAACTCAATTTTTTTCGGAGACCAATGTCAATCTTAAGATGCAAATAAAAATTTTTTTCTAGCAATTGATCATTGTACTGGAACGCTAATACTAAAATAAATATCTTAAAGGATTAGTTTCAGAGAAGTTCCAGAAAAGGAAGTTGAATACATCAAGAGATCTTACCTCTTGTAAAATTTTTTGTGCATCTTCTTGTGTTTCAAAAGTGACGAAACCATACCTAAATAAATACATTACTTTCTTAGAACATTAGAGTTATACTAGGATTATTATTTTTTTTCTTTTAAGAATGGGCCACTGTAGGAGTGAACAGTTTTCTATGGTGTCCAGCATGCAAAATTTAAGAGAATAAATCAGGAAAGCATGAAGGATTCATGTTCTGGCTTACAAATTAGGATGCAATAAATTTTAGTACAGAGCCATAATCACTTTTTAAAATAATAGAAGTTTGACTTAAATAGGAATCAGAGTAGGGAAAAAAAACTTAAAAAAAATTCCAACACAATTTTTTTTATATTGGTAAATGTTTATATGGATGTATTATTTATTATTAGGACATATAAACTGATAATGCAATCACTAGTATTTCCCAAACATAAATCAATTAAAAATATGTATATCCCAGAGTTTCTATCTGCTTTTCAAGTATAATTATTACCTCCAGAGTACAATTCATATAATGTTCAAGATACAAATATATTTTGTATGCAATGTCCAAAAGACAAAACAGATAAATAAAAAGATATGAAAGAAATAAAAAGTATCCCCCTGCCAAGCACAATTTCTACTTAGATAACTTAAGGAAACTAGAGTAGGGTTAAGTATCTTGACTACAATTTTATTCAACTCATAGTTACTGTATTATATAAAGTTTCTTCTTCTAACAAAGCAATTTCTCTTTTTCTACTTGCCCAAACATTAAGCAAGGATTAAGGAAATATTTTTACACTAAATTCTTGATAGAGCACATACACCACCCAGTGGAAAAGGCATGAAATACAGTTTACATATCTATGTTTTCAGTGGTAAAAAGTGGATATTACCAAAATATTGCAAATTCTATTAACCAAATACAAAAGCTACAATCTCACTTTTTCCTAATACTATTTGAAGTATCAGGAAATATCTGAAGAAGTATCTCATTTGTTTAAAAGTAACCTCTCTGCAGGATCCCCATCTCTTCTAAAGTGCTCACCTGACAAACATGGTTTTTTTGTCTCCAATAGAATTTTCTATCCACCTAATTAGTCCTTTCTCTTATGTATGGCCTGTCTCTCTTTCAAGAAAATAGACATAATCCTTTACTGACCTCCGCTCTCTTACCCATTTCTACTTTGCTGTCAAACTTCTTAAGTAAGTACACTATGTAAGCTACCTCTTCTCTGAAATTTGTCTTTTTTATAAACCAATCCATTGCAACAGCTCTAAGGTCATTAGCCATTTCCAGAAAAATCCTACTTATTTCTTCTCAATTTTTATTCTCTTTGATTTGGCAATTAAAAATCATTCTCATTAGAGTTATATTTCTCAGGTTAGTTCCTTATTTGGGTTTCTGTGTCTAATGCAGGCATACAATTCCAAGAGTATCTGATTCCTTTAGCTTCTGGTTCCTTAGCTACTGGACATTAGTTACTCAACATTAAATGCTTGCTACCTAACATGGTTCCTCAGGCAATGCAAGAATAACTTCCTAACAAATTAAGGAATATTATAGTGTCCTCCCCCACTCCAAAATACACACGCACATCCACACACAATGGAGATTAAAGGCAAGAAGAATGAAGAGGGCATGAAATTCTCTTTTTTAAAAATGGAATCAAAGCAAGTTAGCGTACCAAACCTAGTAATCCAATAAAAATACAATTCTTAATTCTATGTACTATCTATAGTGATACTAACCCTTTGGACACTCCAGCTCTGTCATTTACAATCTTCACTTCTTTTACAGACCCATACTGGGAAAAAAATTTTCTCAAATCATTTTCATTTGTCTAATGGCATAAAAGGAAAACACAAAAAATTGCTTTTAATAGCTTTTTAAATAGCTTCTAATTGCTAAAAAATGAAACAAGTCTTATGCTTGTTTTGGAGACAGAAAAGATTATAAACAAATAGTAATATAAATATAAGAATGCCTCTCAGCATAAAACAGTACATAAAACCACTAAATTATTAAAATCAATGTAAATACATTGCTTTATGCCGTAACTATGTTGTTAAACTATTACAATCAATGAAAAAGTTTTAAGCTGAAGTACTTTAAAAACAAAAAGAAAGTTCATTCATATTTAAAGGAATTCTTGTTTTACAGTTAAAAAAATATGAATTAGACATGGCTATAATGATAGAAAGGGCATATTACTACTGGTTTTTGTGGCTCAGAGAGGCCCTAGGTCATGGCAGTGGAACTAAGTTGTTGCTGTATACCAGTCCCTGTATTTTAATCAGCAGTCTCCAGGAAGAGTAAGATCTAAGGAAAGAAATATATTTCTAAAAGTACTTTAACTCAATTTGGGATGTCAATGAATATACATTTCACTGACATGTATTTCAATATACATTTCAGCTAAGTAATGACATTATAATATTCAAAATAAAAATTTGAGTCATCATTGGACTTATAATGTATAAGATATCTACAAAGATGGTTTTAACTGCAATAGTCTCATAATACACTCATTTAACCTTTTCCTACAATATTCACACTAAATTCACTGTAATTTCATTTTCTGGTTCAGGTATAACTAGCCCATGGAAACTTTAACTACCTTTAGAAAAAAATTTTCTTTATATACACAAAAAAAGACATGTCCAACAGCAGTACTATGCCTCTTATATACATTATCGGGTTTTAGTTGATAACCTACAGCCTGCTAGACTAGATGATGACAAATACTGAGATAATCTAAGAATAACTAGATGCTTCTTATTTCAATAAACTCAAAATGGAACCAATGACAGAAAAATTTGTTAGAGATTTGAAAATAATTCAAACTATTCTCTGATAGAAGAATCACTAGTTCAATTTTGCAGGTTTTCAATTTTTAGTTGAAAAATAAGGAGACAGAAAGTCAAGATGATTAAGTATCAAGAGGGATAGGCTACAAGCTTCTAAAGAGAAGAATTTTTAAAAGTTTGACACTGTTTGCTACTACAGTAAACTATTGCCTAGTTGTCATTTGTCTATGGTTTTGGAAAAGGTATAGTTATCAGGGAGGAAACCGTAGCCATTACCTTAAAGGTATAACTGCGTTGTAACAATGGCCCCTTAAGTTCATGATGTAGTTGACAAATGTTTCCATTTATTAATAATTTATTTAAAAATATACTAAGTTGTTTATAATATAAATTATTTCTGAACAAGAATACTCAACTTGAATATTTATGGTCAGCCATTAATATTTTTGATAGAAAATCTTTTTAAAAATAAACATTTCATTAGAAATCATTTTTCTTTATTTTTAGTGAACCAATCACATACTTGCTTTAGAATCCTTTTTTTGACAAGTACACAAATACAGTATGTGTATCATTTCTCTTGAGCAGAAAAAAAGTAATTTCATCCAAACTGCAAAAGATTGATTATAGGGAAATAGCAATAACTGTCAAAAGTCATAGCCTAATAGCACAATTTTTTTAATTACAAAAGACAACTATTCCTGTAATTTCCAATATGTAATACTGAAACTTGGAAATCTTTCTATATATCTACTTAGAAGTAAGGATATTCCACTTAAAATAGCATGTGCATCTTTTCTATAGGTGTTTACTACTACCTCCCAAATGGGGGTGCTAAAACATCTCACAAACTAAGTTTCTCTGAAAGAGTGAAATGGCTGATTACATTCCTAAAATGTATTAATGTTAAGATGCTTTATTCTGGGGGCACCTGGGTGGCTCAGTCGGTTAAGGGTCTGACTTCGGCTCAGGTCATGATCTCATGGTTCATGGAATAGAGCCCTACATTGGGCTCTGTGCTGACAGCTAGCTCAGAGCCTGGAGCCTGTCTTCGGATTCTGTGTCTCCCTCTTTCTCTGACCCTCCCCTGCTCACGCTGTCTCTAATTCTCTCTCAAAAATAAATAAAACATTAAAAATATTTTTTAAAAAAGATGCTTTATTCTGACAAGACACAGGCTTTTTTTTTTTTTTTTTCGTGATCAGATTCTAAATTAGATGGCAGAAAAATATTTGTGAAAGATGGAAGTTTAGGAAGTTACTCAGTAGGAACTTGAGAATAAAGTTGGGATACAGAAATAAATTCATAGGACTAAATTTGTGTTTTTTTAAAAACTGAGGGGCACCTGGGTGGCTCAGCCAGTTATGCGTCTGACTTCGGCTCAGGTCATGATCTCACGGTTCATAGGTTCCAGCCCCACATCCGGCTCTGTGCTGACAGATCAGAGCCTGGAGCCTGCCTCGGATTCTATGTCTCCCTCTCTCTCTGACCCTCCCCTGCTCACATTGTCTCTCTCTCTCTCTCTCTCTCTCTCTCTCTCTCTCTCTTTCAGAAATAAATAAAACATTTAAAAACTTTTTTAAATAAAAATTGAGTCTTTTTTTGGAAATTATTATCATGCATTATTTGTTTTTTTTTGAGTATGATGTAATAAAGTATAATTAGTGTGGTATGGTGGAATAAAGAATATGGAACTATGAGTCAAAATACTGGGATTCTAGTCTTCACTCTGTCACGAAGAAGCTAGGAACCTATAGATACATCAATGATCCTCAGTTTCCTTGTATGTGAAATTACATATATTCTATTTAACCAACACTGCTATTGAAAAGATTCTTTATAATAAGACAATGTGAAACCTACTAATCATTATGGAAATAGCAAATGTTATTTTTGTAGCTGTACAAAAAATTTTTGAGAAATAAAATAACTTCTAATGCAAAAAATACACTATGTTGCATGCATAAATAGGTACCTTAAAGTCAATTCCTCCTACAAAGATGCGATTAGGGATCACTGTTCCATATCTTGGGGCACTTGTTGGGTTATTCAAAGGCACAGGTGACACAGGATTAGGGGATGGAGATAACGAATCTGTTTGCGTCTGATTTGATGTTTGCTGTAAAATAAAATTCTTTTAAACTTTTAGCATTGGGTAGAAGTTTTGATGTAGGCTGAAAACATATATCTTTCAAAAAGATGAGTCATTTAGACAAAATGTAATATTTTAGACTTAAATTTTATTCTAATATCATGAAGATTATAATTAGAAATACTTTTTTTCTCAACAAAATTTTCCCAACAAAAATATGGGAAATGTAGAATCTACTCTGCTACAGAGAAAATCTTGAATATATTATTTAAAATGATTCTGTTAATTATTATTAAATATACTATTAAATATTATAAATATTGAGAAATATTAAACTCAAAAAACAGAAAGAGAAAAGCAGCCCTGGACAGCTGGGAGTTGGCCTAGAACTCACAGCTAGGCTATGGTTGTTCTCTTGTTGTTCTCAGACATTAGGCAAAGTTACTCTGTGATTGTGATGGATTGATAAAAACAAGACCATTCCATAATCATGTCTGAACTCTGACAAAAAACAAAAGCATTATCCAAACCACAAGAATGACCAAACATCCCTCTTTTCTGGCTGATATATGTTACTGCTCCTTCTTTATCAATCACAGCTTTGGCTATTTTTCTTGCCTTCTAGATAGGAATTAGCATACCCAATCGTAGAATTACTCCCACTTTCTGACCACATGCATCTCACAGTAAAGCCCTTCTTCCTTAAACCCTCTCTAAAAAGAGCTTACCACAAATCTAAATCCCATAGGAAGTACTTTTCTAACACACTCTTACTGAGAGGCTCCATGGTGTATGCTCTTCCTTGTGGCAACAATTCAATACACCCAACTTTAGTGAACTACAGGTATGTTCCTGATAGTCTTTGGCGAAAGGGCATTGACAAGTTGATAAATCTGACATTCAAGTTTAGTGTTTTTTAACTCTAAAGTCAAAGTTTTAAATGCACTTGTCAATTGGAAGATTGAACTGATTTTGTAAAGTAAAAGAAATTTACATACTTGTATCTTATAGGCATAAATGTTTATACCAAAGATTGAGCTCAATACATATATATTCATAATTCTAAGTTGGGGGCCTAATTTAGATTTTACTAACTATATATTAACACATATACCTTTGCACAATGGCAAGATGGTAAACCCTTAACAAACAACTGAAAAAAAAAGAAGACTTGAGAATAGAATCTTGAAGAGAAACCAATTTAAGCACTTGCTAATTATTTTCCTTCTGAGAACACTAAACAGGCTTCTCAGACAGTCTCACGTACTAAATGAGTACACTTCAAAATGCTTGCAGTTCATAATTTCAATTCTCTGAGAAACAAATACATGAAAATGAATTTCCAACATAGATAATGGAGTTGTTCTTTTTCATAGTTGCTCTCCTGTCTCACTTAATTGTTCAATAAAACCATGATCCCTAAGTTAATCTCTTCAAGATATATGAAGAGAAGTCATTTCAAGAGAAATGACTAGGCCAGTAGTGACTATGCTACAAGGCTGGACTTTACTGGATTCTATTCTGCATTTAGTGTTAAGGGGGAATAACACAAACTCCCTAATAAGGGAGCTCATAATGACACCCGTTAAACCATAGAAAAATCATCACACTTAATAACTGCTATGTTGTAGTTTCCAATTAAAGAAATTGGGAATCCAATCTTAAAAGCATTCTCTCTGGGCATTTGGAGGTTATTTATAACTTCAGTCACTTATAGGATGTAATGCAGAGTATGGTTGATTTTGGGATGTTTAGTTTTATGTTTCAATTGTGGATATGCAATGCTAGATATAACAGCACAGCTCTAGTAGATATAATCTTGTCTGTTTAGAAAGTGTAAAATTTTAAAAAATCAGTCTTAATGAAATTTTCTTCTTAAAAACAAAACGAGTTCAACAGATGAATTCATTTGTTCTCCAATTTAAAAACAAAATCAATTCCATTATTTTTCACTGAGAGAGAGAATGAACAAAAGTTAACAAGAGATTTTCTTTATCTTGAGAAACTAGTTAGAAGGAAAAACATCAACTTTTTATATCCTGCTCATTGCGTTTTCGTTTCTAAGGCTCCTGCTGTACTGTGGGTTTCTACTACCTTATTTTTCTTCTTACCACCTATCACTTTCCAACATACTATATAATTTACTTATGTTTATTGTCTACCACTTTCAAATATAGTGCAATGTTCATATGGGAAGGGATTTTTGCCTATTTTGTTCACTGATCATCTAAAGTAGAAATGGTACATAGCAGGTGTTCAATAAATATTTGTTGAACAAACGAACAAAGGAATGAATCACTTCTTCCTGCTCATGATATCCCAACCATTAGGTTGAGGGTTTAAGAATAAAGTATGAAAGGAACCTAGAAAATATCTTAAACTAGCAGAGGCAAGGCTCAAGCAGAAGCATCTCAATTCCTCAGAGAAGGTCAGCAATGCACTGAATTAAACAACAAAGCCTCAGATTCCACCGGCAATATTTCGCAAATGTACGAAAAGCACTTAGGTGCTATTATTTGGTTAGAAGTAAGGGTCTAGCTTAGCAAAACTTCTAGCACTAAAGAGTTATTAAAAACTTCCTTCAAAGTAATGTGCCCTCACTGCCTCCTTCCCTTGAGAATTAACCTCGAAATCTATCATCCACTTTGCCAACGAAGACAACGGGAAGAGGGCAGGCTAACCGTCGCGGTCAAGGCCTCGAAGCTCCTTCCCCTCCGAGGCCAGCAAGCTGAGGCGCTGGAGGATATAGCCGCTGCGACAACTTCCTCGGGTTCTCTCGGGTCATCATGAACTTGGGCACTGACACGAGGATCCACCCCCTCCCCACCAAAGTGCGGGAGGGAAAAGAAGGCTAGCCAGCGAGAAATTTTGCCCCGCAAACCCGCCAGCAGCAGTGGCGGGAACCCTCAACGGCACCGACCAGACGGCGGCCTCGAGCGCCGGCAACCCCTCGGCCCTCACGTGGAGCGCGCTGATTGGCTGGCAGCGGGGAGCGGGGCGGGTCCCTGCGGCACCTTGCCTCAGCGCCGAGTCTCCTCAGGCCTGCTCTGTCTCCCGCCCCTCCCCCACCCGGCCCTCAGCGTCTCGGGAGCGCACCCCGTGTTAGAGTGTCCGGGTCCGTCGAGGGCCACGGTGCCCCTCCCCCCACCTCCAGGTCTCTCCGGCCTTCCGGTCCCACTGACTAGCCGGACGGAGGCGGCGTCAGCCACGCCAGCAACTCCTCGTGGTGCTCGTCTGGGCGGAATCCGGCCAGAGCGAGCGTCAAAGACGCCGCCGAGCCCAGTTTCGGCGGGAAAGCTGTTTCTCTAGCCCCGCCCCGCCTGGTGTACGGGACCCAGCCACACGCCGCCTCTTGAAACCTCCCGGCCGTTTCCGAGGTCCCCCAACCAGCCTACACCCGGTCCAGGCCTGGGGGGGGGTCCCACCTTCCCCACTCCACGACCCGACCAGACAGGGCCTGCAGGCAGGCCGCTCTTCGCGGTGGTCGATGGGGCATCCTGTCCACGTTTCTTCCCGACAAAATAGCGGGCGTTTGGGCCCTAGACCTCACTCTTCCAGCCCCTCACGAACGAAGTCCACGTTGCTCCTTCCCCCTGCTATCCCGGAGCCGGAGGCCCTGCCTGCTGTACTCACCGCCCCGGACTCGGTCTCCATCTTCCTCTACGCTCTTCAGAACCCGGGGGAAAGGATCAGAAACCTGAAGTTTGAAAGAACCTTCACACCAAAGAAGCAACACCACGTTTCCCGACGGACGCTCCCCCTGGCGGCGACGGCGGCAGTGGCAGCTGCAGGGGCGCAGGCTCGGACCCGGGACCTGAACCTGCCACCCGGGGGGGTGGGGAAGAGCAGGAGACGTCGCCTCGGCCGGCGGGGCGGGCGGGCGCAGCAAGCCGGGGAGAGGCGCGACGCGGGCGGGCGGTTTCGGCTGTGGCCCGTGGTCTCGGAGCTGGGCTGTGGGGCGGGCGTGTGGTGTGCAGACGAGGGCTCGGCTCTGGGGCCACTCTCGCCTGCTTTCGGACGGCTGGGGAGGAGAGAGCGAACGGTTATGCAAAGCACCATGCGCCGCACACCTTCCTCTCTCCCCTTTGGAGAAAAGTCGGCGTCTGGGACTGGTGGGTTTCGAGAGGTTGACGTGACCTCTGGCTTTACTAAGTAGCAAGAGGCCAGTTGAGGGGCGACTTCGGAAGGCTGGTGCAGGGCGAGGAGGGCGGTTTCCAGAGTGAAACTCTGACCCCCCGGGCCTGACGCGCCAAACTCGGGGACTCCCGAGAAGCCTGGGGCTCCGCGCTGCACCTGTTGTCGCCGTCACTCATCCCCGCCAGCGGGCGGGGCGGCGCGGGCGGCTTGGCCAGGACCCGCCGCGCAGCCCAGTTTGGGTCCCTTGGCCAGGACCCGCCCGTCACAGCCTGGAGCCCGGAGCGGCTCCCGCGGGCCCCTCGCGGCTGAGCACTGCCCGGCCGCAGCCACAGCCTCGGGAGCCGGTCCGCGACGAGGCCACCCGCGCGCCAGAGGGGTGAGCACTGTGTGGCTTGCCCAGAGCGGCTCTGGCGGCCAGTAGCCTTGGGATAGCCTTTGAAAGAGTACTTTACAAAAATATCTGCGAAAGGTAGCTGAGAGTTCTGTATATCGCCGCTATAACACATAATGTAATATTATACACACACATATATATGATATACGGTATATAATCCGTAATATATAATCCGTAATATATAATATATAGACGATATATATAATACACAATCAAGTTGTAAATACTTACAACTAAGTAAACTTATGTAATAATGCTGATGACTATTACACCTACCATTTATCAAGGGCTCTTTTTGTGCCGGGCGCAGTGCTTTATAATCAGTATCGTTTAATTGTTCTCAGAGAAACCCTTCAAATAGATACACCTGTTATCTTCATATTATAGGTGAAGAAATGGAGATTAAGTCAATTTGGTCCAGAGCTAAAGCTATAAGAGATTTAACTGGGATCTCTCTGACTATTCATGAGCTTATCATTTTGACATGTGTTTTTAAAAAGTTAGCAGTAACAACTGTTAACAGTTACATTAATAATAACTTTTGTACTCTCTGTTATAAAAGCTTGGGTTATTTTAATTTAAAGATAAAGGTTTAAAAATATACAGTATGACTTAATTTTTAATCTGTTCAGAGATTAGCTTTTCATATTATTTACCAAAATAAAATGGGAAGCATAATTTTTTTCACTGAATACAGTTCAGCTAAAGCATCTAAAAGTCATTATTTTTGCATGCAATGTAAGCTCATTTCAGGTTTTAGTTTCTGTGGAAACAGAGAATACAAACCTATTCAAATTAATACTCATATCCTAGAGCAAAATAATTTTACTGTTCAATAACATTAGAACTGATTTTGTTTTTTTTCAATAGTAATACGGATATGAGTAGTTATTACTATCTCCTCTTTTGCCCAAGTCTTTTTTTTGGCTGAAAACCCTTACATTTGAAGACTGTCTTCATAATAGGTGTTCAGTGTGTGACACACAAATTAATCAACACAATTTAGGGGATATTAACTGTATTTCAAGGCCCCTGTTAGGTACTAGAGGGATATACTGTAATTACAGTAGATAATTATCTATTCTGCTTTTTTTTCATTCTTAAAGAAAAAAGGAATTTTTTGCTTTTAAAATTTGGATAAATCATGTAAAAGTATGCAATTCAATTAATAGACATAGAGTTCCTATTGTGGGTAGTACCTAATGCTGTATGTTATGGGAGATAGGATGAACAAGATCAAATCGTCATCTTGAGTTACTTTCAATCTAGAAGGGGAGAAAGGACTAACTGCTCAAAATAATAATTATACCTAAATACACAAGCAGAATAGGATAAGTTATAAATGAACTGTGATCAAAGATCTGTGAGAGCACAGAAGACCACATTGTGGAGCACAAAGTCCAGGGCTGGGTAAAAGCGCCGTCAGAACAGAAGGTCTGGATGGAAAGGTGGAAGGAAAGATATTGAGCCCCTGTCATCTATTCAGCACCAGGCTAGGTTAGGCACATTCTTTTTTAGTCCTTTTAGTTATCATTCACTCCCCCCACCCCTTTTGGAAATCCTAGCCTTAGAAGGTAAAATTAACTTGGGTAGTTACATTGTTAGTAACTGGTCCATGTAGTTTTCAAAACTTGGTTCTATTTGACTCCATTTGCTCATGCATAGTGTACTCTGCCATGTTATTTATACCATGGGTAATGACTTAGAATTTTATACTGGGGACTTTACAAATAAAGGGCCATTGAAGGTTATTGAATCAGGAAGTTACAAAACCAGAGCCAAATTTTAGATATTCTCAGATTAGAGAACAGTTTTTAAAAGACTCGAAACAAAGAATTGGGTTAAGATCATACTAATGGGGATCCAAACAAAAGTAGCAGCTGTGAGAATAAAATACTGGGAAAGGGTTAAGGAGAAACCAGAGAAGAATTGAAACTTGGACGTATTGATGATGGGGAGGGATTGGTGAGATTGGTTCAGAAGTCTCAAGTTTCAAATCCTGGAGATGTCATTGACAAAGATAAATATAAAAGTGCAGCACATAACAAATTGCAAACCTAATATCCCATTGCTTATATTTTATGCTAGCATCCCAACATCTCCTGTCTTTTTCCTTCACACAGTATGTTGAGTATAGTTCTTGTTTCAGAGATTTACCCAAAGCTCCCTTCCCTCTCTTACTTGTCTTCCTTACTGGAAGATCTCCTATTACTACCTCTTGAGTTTTCTAGCCACAGATTCTTACTCCTAATATCTATTTTAGGCAGTCTTTTTCTCAATAACCCTTTGGATGCATGCCCTAGCTTACAGACCTAGATAACCATTTGTGGGCCTCCTGTGGACCAGACTTTACTTTAAGGCAAGGGATATGGCAAAGATTAAGATGTGGTTCTTGCTCTCCAGCAGCCTGTAGTCTAGTGCAAGAAGGAGCTAAGTAAATAGAAAGTTCATACATTCAGTGTGCTAAGTGTAGCAGTGTATTTCTAGTACAGAGATAGACCAGACCAGAAGTGATTTGGTAGATAAAACAACATGAAAAGTCATGTTTAGAAGATGCTTCCACTTCCATTTTATTTCTTTTGAGTTCCCAAGTCTATTAACCTATTGTTGTATTTCGGAGGATGATTAAATGCTTTTTTTTTCTCTACGATGTTTGGATATTTGAAATGGGAGAGGTGAGGGATAGTATTTTTTTTTTTTGAGGGATAGTATTTAAAAAAATATGTCTTAAGAAAGCAAAGAGTGCTGTGCAGATCTCCTTTTCCTTTACAGAATGTCATATTTACATTTAGACAGGGTATTACAGAGCTAGTCTAGACTGGAACAATAACGGATTTATTGGAAGATTCCTTATAAAATTCTTTTATTTGGTTATGCTGTTTGCTTTGAGCAACTGCTTAGACAGAAGAGTATACAATATAGAACTGACTGTGCAGCATAAGGTACTCAGTAAATATTTATAAAATAAGAGATTAGGGGTGCCTGGGTGGCTCAGTCGGGTGAGCGTCCAACTTCGTCTCAGGTCATGATCTCACGGTTTGTGGGTTTGAGCCCCATGTTGGGCTCTGTGCTGAAAGCTCAGAGCCTGGAGCCTGTCTTTGGATTCTGTGTTTCCCTCTTTCTCTGACCCTCCCCTGCTCACGCTGTCTCTCCCTCTCAAAAATAAATAAAACATTAAAAAAATTTTTTAAAAAAAGAGACTAAATGAGTAGGCAACACTCACTCCATTTTCCATTTTATCCCCACCCCTTACCATTTTACTCTTACTTCTGAAATAAGAGTAAAAAACAAGCATCGTCAGAGAATCTTTTTCTCAATTTACTTACACAAGTACGGTTTAATAATTATGCACACTTTCAGTTGCTTTTTAGGGGGACCTTGTGTTTGGAACATCCCACCTGCAAAATCCTTTGAACATTCACAGATATTTTTTTAAAAGCAAATGATATCACCATATACAAAAATAAGGCTTGTGTAGTAAGACTTCAGTGTAAGAATGATTGCCCTCAGAATACTGTCCATTTGTAGATTCAGGCCTGCAGTGTTTGCCTTGGCTTGCCCCTTTATTTTACCTTTACCTGCTCTCGCCTTCTGACCACCAACTGCTGTTTTTTAACCTCTTTCCATTCTTATCTCATCTTTAGATTTCATCTCTTTGGGAAGAAAACATTCTCCTCAACCCTTTTAGGGTCCCTGGTTGGGTCTGAAAATTATCCTGACAGTGACTAACAGGAGAAAAGCATACACAATTTTACTGAAGTTTTACATGTACATGAGGGCCTTCACAAGGGAATAAAGACCTAAGAACTGGCCAGAGTAAGAAGATTTTATATCTTTTGGACAAAGAAACAATAAATTTATGAGTAATTGATAAGACGAAGGGGTTTAGGCTAGAGATAGTAAATGGTGAAGAAGTAACTAGAAAGATAAGGGTTAGTTTATCAAGGTTAGTTTGCGGATTCCTCTGGTGCCCTGTCTCTGGGCTGAAAAGAGTCTGTCTCCAGTAAAAGAATTTATTTCCTGCCTTTAGGCAGAAAAGTGGGAACTTTTTGTGTGTTTACTGCTTCTTAATTGCCTTCAACTCAAAATAATTAGTATGTCAAAGAGGCATATTTTGGGGTGACATATTCTGTTTTCCTTCATATACATGAAGTGT